TGGTGAGGTCAAGGCTTCCCGGAGACCACTGGTGACTTTTGAGCTGGGTTTGCAAGGATGTATACCGGGCCTTCCCCAGGCAAGGACAAGGGTCTGGAAATCAGACAGAAATGCTGCCCAGCACAGGTGGACTTGGAGGCTGAGTGGTCGAGGAACCGCGGGAGACAGAGGTGCCTCTCTTCCGGGTGGGAGGGCTGTGAGCCCTGCAGTCTCCGGGCTCTCTGGAAGCGGCCCCCACCATCACCTGGCCCCACACTCATGAGCGGCCCCCCACAAACCACCCCAAGTGTCTCATGCTCAAAACAGTGCCCTTCAGTGCCCCCCCCGACAGCACCCCCTCTGCTGCTTCCTTCTCCAGGCCCCGTCCATCCCCCCCCCCCCGCTCTGCCGCCCCCAACTCTGAGCATCTTGCCTGGATGCCGGCAGCTACCTCCGTGAGTGTCCTGGGGCTCCCACGACAGAGGACCACACACTGGATGGCTTGGAGCAACACACATCTATGGCCTCCCAGGTCTGAAGGCCAGAAGCCTGATGGTGAACCCCAGCCCCGCACCTTCCGGACCTGTTTCGGCTCCTCCCTGTCCTCCTCCCAGGGCTGGGCCTCCTCTGCTCGGCTCTCCCCTCCGGGACGACAGCTCTGCTGGGATCTTCCGGCCCCTGCCAGAAATGGGGGCAGCTTGGGACCCAGGGCCCTCCCTGTACCCACAGAGTGCACAGTCCACCCCAGGCTGCCTCCACGCTGGCAGGCAATGGGGAGGACCCGCGTGGGTGGCCCTGCCCTGGATGAATGCTTTGGGAAGGGGGGTTCTCCCCGTGTTCCAAAGCAGAAGCTGTGACCCAGGTAGCTTTAGACTTGATTGATATTCCTCAGGCTTCTGGAAGCCCCTGGCCCGGGGGGTGGGTGGGGGAAGGAGGAGTCCATGGAGGATGTCGGCCGGCCGGGGGAGACCACGTGGTGGGAGACACAAAGCGCGTGGGTTTCTTCAAGTGAAGGCAGCGTCCAGTCCGACTGCGGAGCGATGTGACTGGTTCTACCCATGTCCGCCCCATGTCTCCAGGGCCTGTAAGAAGCCCGGCAGGGTGAGGCAGGCCTGCTGGGCTGTCAGGGAAAGTAACATCCGGCCGCCACCCTCACTGAGCTGAGTCAGCTGGGCCAGGCTGGCCCCCGCAAATGGCACCATAGGGACATCGTGGGGGCGGACAGGGGCTCCACCCAGGTGCACCAAGGTGACTCGGCCTCACGGAGGTGTCTGGCCCTCACCCTCCTGGCGGCCAGGGTCAGAGCCTGCCGGGAGTGCAGCCTCCGCTGGCCACTGCGGCCTCTGAGCCTCAGGGGCTGTGACAAGGGTCCCAGGCAGATAAAGCGCCTGGTCGATCACACTAAAGTCAGAAGAACCGAAAGCTCAGCCAGGGTCAGCTGAGGAGGGGTCCTGCCACTGGGGGCTCCTGCCTGTCAGCATCTCCTGGTGGGTGGGAGGCCCACTGACTGGGTCTGGGGTCCCTCAGGCTCCCCCAACCCCCGACGTGGCTGTGCCTCTAGAGGAAGGAAGATGGGAAGTCCTTCTGCTTTCGAGAACGTGAAGGCAGCGACCGAAGTTCAGGTGCGGCTGAAGGCTGGGTCGGCCGGCAGGGAGCTGAGGGTGGCCCACACGGGGGGGAGTGCTCTCCGGCGGAGCCCCTCTCAGGGTGTTGAAGGCCAGGTCAGAGGGCATGTCTCCCATGGCCAGCCCTGGGCCTCCTCCACAGCCCACCTCGTGTTGTCACCCACGGGCACTCGGGGGCGAAGGAGCCAGGGAAGACCCGTTTGAGCAGAGGGCGGGCCAGAGGCCAGCACTATCACCAGGACAGGCTGGGTGAGGTCTGGGCTTCACCCCCCAGCCTGGCCTGGTCCTCCTGCTGGGGCAACGCCTGGCGTAGCCTGCCCAGGCCCAGGTGCCCTCTGGGAACACAAGGCACCGGGCTGACTCAGCCTGGTACCTACGGGGAGTGGGACCGCTGGCCTGTGGGTCAGGGCTCTGCTTGGCCCTGGCCCCATGAGAGCAGACTGGTCGCCACGGTGGGGCAGGTGCTGCAGATGAGGGGGCATGTGGACACACTGAGCCGCCCGCCACAGCTGTGGACCTGGCCCTGGGTGGCTACAATTCCTAACTTACCCAAGGGAAAACCAGAATTTTAGGTGGACTGACCCCCATTTGGGGGCACTTCTGAAACCACAGCTTCAGGGAGGCACAGTTGACACACATACAACCAGACACTCCCAAGCAAAGCAGTTCCGAGAGCTCCTATTTCCCATTGCCCCCAGCAGTCCCCTCTGTGGTGCAGCCTCTGGAAGCCACAACAACACATCTTAAGTGTCTGGCTCCACCCCATCAAGGCTGGGACCATTCCACGGTGGGCGTGCACTCTGCTGGGACAGGGCCGAGCTGCCCCCAGAAGTCAGGGTGCAGAGGTGGGCACACCAGAGGCAGCCACCTGATTCCGCCCAAGTTTGAGCGAGCAGTCTTGAGTAGGACGGTCAGTCCAAGGAGGAAGGGAGGGTGCGGGCCGCAGAAGCCATGGGGGATAGGAGGTGGCCCTGGATGCTCACCGGAACTCTCTGAAAGAAGCATCGTGACGGCCCGGCCCAGAAGGGGGACCCAAAGGTGAGGGCCGGGGCCGGTAGGCCTGGCTCCAGGCAATTCAGGGGGTCAGTGGGGACAGAGGCCTGGCCCGTGCAGAGCCAGCAACCACCCAGAGCTGCTGCAAGTGCCACCTTCCCTGCTGCCCCTGGTGGCTCTATGCCTTTCCGGTGCACGCAGCAAGGCCTGAACGAACCTCAGGTGCCAGCAGAGGCCCAGATGGAGAACGGGTGCCAGGCTCCATGGCCAGTGGAGAGCCTGCCTTCCCTGTCCTGTGACTGCCCAGGGCTGAGGTTGAGGACAGCTTCGTGGACAGGCCAGGAGGCAGTGCCACAGGGGACAGTGGGGAAGGCACAGCTTCTCAGGGCTTCGAGCTGGAGTCTTGCTATCCAAATACACTTGGAATCACCAAGCACCAGGCTGAGGCCCCAGAGGCCACAGGTACCCAGCCCTGTGACGGAGCCCACCCAGGAGGTGGGGGGTGGGTGGGTGTGGCCTGCTCACAGGATTCTTCTTAGAATCCTGCAGGGAAATAAAACCCAGGGCCTCCAGAGACAGCCACAACCCAGACACCCCTCCCGCCGTCCATCTGTGCTGGTCTGACAAGAAAACACGCCTGGGGCCGCCTCCACCATGCATGTGACCGCCAACAGGCAGAACGCCCAATTTTCCCTCCCACTGACCCCAGGTGCCCAGCCGCTCTCTCCAGCTTCCCAGTCAGCTCAGACTCCGAAGGTAGTGCTGTGTATGTGAGCGCGCAAGTGCGTACCCACACGCGGCTGGCCGTGACCTGCTCCTAAGCACCAGACTCTCAGGGGTATGCCCCACAGGCACACGGACACCCGTCCTTGGCCGCCCCACGTCCGCCATGGGCAGGTGGGCACTGACTCGGCTGGTCTCCGAGGGAAGGGATGGGCTCCCCCTACCCTGTCATCCCAAATCGCCACAGCACACACTGGCCACGTGCTCCGCACACACGCACGGCGTGGACTCCCGGCCCAGATAATGCGCACCAACTTCTGGTGAAGCCCTAGCAACTGCCGGCCAGAGAAAGCTCTAACAGAGTTTGCCCCCTGGCCCGTCTCCTTGGCTCCCATCACCCGGCGCTGTGCCCATCAGAGGGGGCTCTTCTCACATGCCCGTTTCTTCAGCGAGGTCCAGCAGCCTCCAGGCTGAGCGGTTGCTGGTGCTTCACAGTGAACGTGGGGGGCCGTCACCCACTGAGGGTGAGGAGCCAGCGGGAGAGGAAAGATCACGTTCGGAGTGACCCCTGGGCCGGCAGGATGGGTCCTCCCAGAGTTGAAACCGTCCCCACAAATTTCCTGCAAAGTACCCAAGCACATCATTTTGTGCAATCACTGCTCATCCTGCAGTTACTCGTGAGCCACGGTTTATAAACAGCTTCATTCTGGACGCTCCAGGGAAACAGGACATGTGGAGAACTTGGGGAGCCCCTGACCAGTCTGGGTCCACAGGGACGAGCAGCTGCCCTGGAGGTCCGGGGGCCCATCCTCGAGAGATGCTCCCAGCGCGCACCGTCATCTCTGCAGACTGCCCTCCGGGGATGGGGTTCTCGATCTGTGTCAGCAGGAACAAGGCAGGCCTGGCACCCACAGGCTTCTCGGGTGGGGGGTGGGGGGCCAGGCCCACGGGGGGGTTTACCCACAGGTACTTCAAGAACCGAGAACATTCTGGTTCTAGTTGGCTGGGGCACGCTGGAAGCAGGGCTATTCCTAAACCTTGTGCAGCACTTCCTGCTCCTTCTCGTGGCCACTCCCAGGGAGAACCAGGCCCCCCAGACAGGCACCTGGCGAGCTGGGCACCGGCAGCTGGGCCGCGGGAGGAGCAGCTGTGTGCTTGCCTCCGCCTGGTGCCTGTACCGCCCCCCCACCCCCGGCCAGGTACCGTGCACAGGGCTTGTGCAACAGGTGTCTCGGGGGCGGGGGGGGAGGGCGCTCCCCTCTTAGCAAGGAATGGAGGTTCCACCAGAAAAGTGGCCTTTATGCAGCAATTTTCCCTCCTGGAACCTTCTGGATCTGGGAGGTACAGCCCCACAAACTTTTGAGAAATGGCGCACTCCTGGGGGAGAGCAGACACGTTCCTGAGGTAGCAAAGGGCCCAACCCGGGGGGCCCCAAGCCCACCCTGACAGTGAAGTGGGTCTGCAGGCCTAACGGGCAAACTAAACGTAGCCGCCTCCTAAGAACTGGCTGACACGGAAAAGCAGAGGCCTGAAGCCCGGGTCTGCCCATCCACAGGACTCTACATGTGCAGTTCAAGAGGACGCGCAACCACAGCCCAGAGCTGCCGGGTGGGGGCAGGTGTCAATGCCCCCACCCGATCCTCCCACCAGGTCCTCCCACAGAGAGACTGTGCACAGAGCTGGGTTCATGTTTCACAACTTTAATAGAATATTCTAACTATTCTGTACAAATTGAAAACACTGTATTCAGTTACAAATGTGTTATAAGTAAGGCTGAGCACTCTACAGGCCTGGACACAGTGTGGACACAGCATCCCCGGCTGCCAGAGACTATGGTCACACACTCGGAAACCCCACACGCCAGCCAAGAACAGGTCGCTCTGAACCCAGGGCTTTTAAGACAAGATGAGCATGGGGCCAAGAAGTGGGGGTACTGAGAAAGCAAGACTCGACGTGTCCACACTAGAAGGAAAGCAGTGCTTCCCAGCCCTGGCCCCTCACCACAGAAGCCTGGCAAACCCCGGCACTCGGCCCACAACCCCGCACCCCACCCCAAAAGCCGGGTGGTCTGTATGTCGTGAAAACGAGCTCCTGCCCTCAGCCGTGGGCAGGATGGAGCGAGGCTCCTTCTCCACAGGCCTCACTCTCTTGGGAGCCACCACCACTCCCGCCTGGCAAGTCACCAGGTCACACACATGGTTTCAGAAAGTGTAAGGACAAGTGACAGCATGCGTCCCAAGCCCTCACTAGCAGGGAAGAATAAATAAATACGAAGATGAACCACAAACACTCACGCCTCAGGGTTGGGGTGCACCACAACCCCTACCCCACCCTGAGGAAGACAGAACCAGAGAAAGAACGCTCTAAAGAGAACAGGACCCTACTCTACACAGCTCTTCTGAGACCGTTAGAGCACAGGAGACCACGTGGTGGGAGACACAAAGCGCGTGGGTTTCTTCAAGTGAAGGCAGCGTCCAGTCCGACTGCGGAGCGATGTGACTGGTTCTACGTGCCCCGGAACCACATCCCAAGACATCTGCCCTTGGCATTGACTGACCTTCTGCCGCCCCCTCCCCCTGGGGTCTATGGGGCCCTCCTGAAGGCCGGGCCTGGGAAAGTCCACTGAGCTGCACCCAAGGCCGTAGAGGGTGCTGGAATCAAACCTCCTATTTCTGAAACGCATTTAAGTTGCCACTGTACAGGTTAAGCAAAATAATTAGGATAAAGGAAAAGTTAAAGTCAAAATCATGCACTCGAGAACAAGTTAGAAGGAAGCACTGCCCATACGGTGGCGCGGCCGCCACGTGTCCCGACGCCACACCTGCGGGGTGCTCGCTCCTCACTGCTGTTTGCACTCGGACGGCTGGCTGGGCTCCTTCTGTCAACGAGAGAAGACAGGACTTGTAGGGAACCAACGTCATCAAGCCGGTACCTCCAACCAACAATGCAAACCTAGACTCAATTTACTGCCTTCCTTCTTACTGAAAAAATGGTTACTGCAAACGTACTTTTACAAAAGTAACAAGAAATCACTCAGCTTCCCAGAAACAAAGTCTCAGTAGGGCTGCCTTTCTTGTTCCGAGACATGCCCAGGAGTGTAAGTCACAGGCCAGGCACCGGGAAGCAGGAGCGCCTCAGGGTCACAGACTCATCTGTGTCGGGAGCCTGCGCTCCAAAGCCGCACTGCAGCCTCCAGAGCCTCGGGCAACCCCCCAACCCTGCCCACGTGACACAGCAGCCGCTCCCCTTTCTGTGCCCTGCCACCCCTAAGGCAGGCTCAGCACCTGAAATGAAGAGGCGGCACTGCAGGGTGGGCCAGAGGCGGCCGAGCAGCCCCGCCGGCCCTGGGACAAGGCCTCCAGAGTGCTCTCTGCTTGCGGGATGCACCAGCAGCCCACAGCGGGGGGGAGGCCACACCAACAGCTCCACACACAGCCCCGGGCCTCCCCAAGCCCCTCCCGAAGTGGGCAGTCTATCCTTCCGGAGAGGTAGCAGGGAGAGATCACGCCCCCCAACAGAGGCGCACATTCACTTCAGTGCAATCGAACACAGCTCACACCATTTAAAGCACATCCGGCAGCCCCACGCATTCTGTGTGGAGGCCAGCAACAGCCTGAGAGACAGACACTACCAGACCACGAATCTTTCCCGGCAAATACGTCTACTAATCAGTGGCCTCTGATTCTTGGCTGCCAAGATTACAAATTACTCTCATACAATCTGGGCAAGCCTACAGAGTCTAAAAAAAAAAAAACCTCAAACATCGGGGATGACGTAACACAATACCTTCTATGGTTGAGGCTGGGACTCCATTCTCTGGGAAATCACATTTAAGGTATGAAAAAAATTATGTGTTAAGGACGCATAAAAACAAAACCATGATCTTGGACCCTGGTCTCAGCTCTTCATTTGAAAGTCTCATGGAAAGAGCACAGGGACGCGGCCGGGAGCCCCCAGGTCTCTGCCCTGCAGCAGACCACTCTGGGAGAGGGTCCTGGCCTTGGTGTCACGTGCTCATCTAAAATACTGCTAAAGAACCCAGGCCCCCAAACAAAACACGTCTGATGATAAATCCAGGCAGGAAAAGATCAAGATCAAACTGTGGATCTGGAGGCAGCTCAGGCTGGTGGCCAAGGCAAGGAGCCACTACTGGCTGTCGGGAGTGGCTGGGGAAGGGAGGAGGCCCCAGCCGTGTGGCCATGGCAGCAGGGGGACAGGGAGGGGGAGCAGGCAGCTTTTTGAGGGTGAGGGGAGAAATGTGCTGTGTTTCCACAACTGTATTTGCAAAAAGGAAGTGGGTTAGAGAAGCTGGAGCTAAGGAAGTCCTGAAGGGTGACGTGGTGGGAACGGGGCAGGTGGCACAGGACGGGACTCCTCCTGCTACACCCTTCCGTATGCGGATGAGTTACACACATACAGCGTTTCGCAAAATCGGGCGTGACACGATTTACAATACGCTGTCTGAATCATTTCATATGCTTATTTTTAACCAGGAGAACATATTACCCATTTGTTTAAAGTACGTTCAGTAGCCTGGGGGATAGAGCCTGCTGGAGGCAACGGGGCCTGAGAGCTCCCCAGGCAGGCAGGGAGGCAAGCGGCCCCACCTCTGGGGAGAGCATCCACATGGACACAAGTCCTAGGCTGTAAAGTCAACACAGAACCCCGAAGCTTCTGACGTGAAATTTATCAACAAGACACCACTGGTTTTCAGCCTGTGACACAGGCCAAAACAGGACTACAACTATGCCCCGGCATCCTTGGTCTCAGGCCACCAAGTCTGATGGCAGCTTGGTCACTCGATACCCCTGACTATCACGGGAGAGGAGTGGGGTGTTTCCAAGGCACAAACTAACAGCCCAAATCCTGCCTGTCATGGAGCCATTTAAAAGCCAAGTTTTAACAGAGGACAACTGCCCAAGAAGGGGGGAAAACAAGCCACCAAGCACACAGCTGGCCACCACAGCTTCCCAGGGGCACACAGCCGGGGACAAAGGGCCTGCGTGACCGCGGAGGGAACCCCTGCACTGGAGCGGCTGGGCCCCTGACAAGGATCTGATGACACTACTGAGGGGCTACAGCGCCATGTTGCTCACGGTGGCTACGCCACAGGAGGGTCCCCCTGTCCTAGAAACACAGGCTGAACAGGTTAGGGATGCTTCCCCGTGACTAGCAGGGTGGGAGAGTGGGGCTTGCGGGGAACATTCTTCAGACAAGTGGGGCAGCGGGAATCAAGAGTAATCGAACACATGGTCGTGCTCGCACGTCAACGATCAGCCCCGACTCCTTAAACACAGGATCCACGGTGTCTGTTCGTCTCCCCTGGTTACGATGCTGCCTTGCCAGGAGGCAGCCGTACTACCACGTAGTTCTCTATGAGAGCGAGGCCACAAGAGCCAGACAGGAAGGCCATGTGGAGACTCTCCAACGCCTGCAGCCTGCACGACCATCAGCACCAGCACGCCGGCCGCGGCGGTAAGCTCAGGCTCCAGCTCTCACGGGCCCTGCTCTACGCACCGGCTGAGGCTGCTCAGCACGGCCCCCGGAACCCCCTGCCATTTCCCGGGGATGAACATCACAGCACCTGCCCCCCGTGGCATCTTCTCACCACTGCCCCCTGGCCCCCAGGAGGACAGCGTCCCACAAGGGAGGGAGCTGATTGCTGGAACGGAGTTGCAATGGCCCACGCCTTGGGGCGGGGGGGAAGGGGTGACGGGTGGGCAGCACCCAGCTCTATCCCCACCTGGTCAGAGCACCCCAACGACGCACAGGACCACACCACACAGACACCGCAGCTTTTGGGACACTAACTCCAGCACATTCAAAGTTCAGGTAGGGCTTTATGACCTACCGGTCTGCACCACACCTGAATTTAAAAAGCAGAAACAATCGACAGAGACACATCAAGAAACGGCACAGCGGCTGCTTCCAACCGCACAGGGTGCAGCTGATCCCAGCACGGCCCCCACAACACGGTCTTCAGGAAGACCACACAGTGCCCACCTCCCAGGCCCCTCGCACCCTGTGCTCTTCCTGGAGGGCAGGCCCGTCCCCAGTAAAAATGCCACACCAGTCACGCCTTTGACTCGGTCAGCAACAAACACTAGGCTCAGGAAGCAGGAGCCTAAAATGTAGTTTCTGATGCTCAGTTTTAGAAGTACACACAACGGACACCTGCATGAAACTACTATTCTTCCGAAAGCCACGTGTTCAGTCTAGCACACGCAGTGTGTGCCTGCCCAGCAGCCTCCCCTCTGTCCACCAAGTCACAGTAAGGCACTGTTACAAATCACAGATCAGAAGATTGGATTAGGAATGAATGGAATTCCACCTTACCTAAAAATGCATGAATAACAGACAAAAATTACACCTAAATGGGGAAAAAATTGAAAGGAAGTGTCAGCATGAAAGAAAACAAAATGCACAAAATTATACAGGCAGAAACAGCCACTTTCTCATGACAAAAAGGGCTACAAATTCTCGAGCTTGAGATGAGCAACCCCAACCCACCACATCTATACGTTTAATACCAAAAAATCCCTCCTCCCTCGTTTGCCTCCTTGTGCGCAGACTCTGACATGACCAACCCCTCTGAAGGATGAGACTCGGGCCCTTCCGGCTGCGCAGGGCTGGCGGTCCTCGCGCCTCCCACCAGCGACCCGTCTATCAGCCCCCCCCCCCCCCGACAGCACACACGAAGACCCCGGGAGCGCCGGTCCGGACAACCCTCTACGGTGCCGGACGACTGGTGAGAGAACGCGCTTCCAGAAAACAGATGTGTCAGGAAACAGAAAAGGACAAACAACAGAAGGCAGCGACAAGGGACGGAGTGACGGAGCTCCCACCGCGAACCGCCCTCGGTCTGCTCTGGAATCCAAACCGTGAGTGTGCCTGTCGGCAGCCCCCAACTGCCCAGGGCGAGCCACCTGAGCCAGGGACCACGTGTCACGGAGCCGAGCACAGGGATGCCTGCCCCACAGGCCCCCCATGCTGGACAGGCTGACTGTGCAGAGGTGAGCACTTCTGTGAGCTTAGTCCCGAGGAGTATTTACAGGGTACGTTTTAAGTTTGAAACCCACCTCCCATTCTTCTCTAGAAGGAGCTGAACTATAAATAAAGCATGCATTTACAGAAACATTCGGTGTTAAAAAACAAACAAAAACAGGGCTGGGTTATTACACTCACATTTAGTGCACATTCCACTTGGGGCAAAAACGGAGGGCAGACAAACACACACTTGTCTAGTTAAACTGGGATCCAGGTCACACACGGCAGGGGAGCTCAGTGCTCTGACAGCCCACGACGACGCAGTGAGCTACAGACGTCACGCTCGCAAACAAGAGGGCGGCCTCCTACAGCCCGAGGACTGCATTAAAGCAGCTCTGGATTTAAGGGATGTGTCAGGTGACCAAGTGCCTTCATTTAAGCTGATCTGCCATCAGTAAACACTCAGGCCTTCAGGTAAAATTAATGGGGTTGCCCATTCTCCTCAGTTTTTGTTTTCTTAAAGCTTCCTAGTTCACTTTCAATGACTGGAGATATTAGACGTAGCTTCCGAATATTCTCAGCCCAAAGGCAATTGTAAAACTATGTCTACAGTTTTATTACTCTGTTCATTAAAAAAATAACCCCCCAGGGCGCCTGGGTGGCTCAGTTGGTTAGGCGACTGCCTTCGGCTCAGGTCATGATCCTGGAGTCCCGGGATCGAGTCCCGCATCGGGCTCCCTGCTCAGCGGGGAGTCTGCTTCTCCCTCTGACCCTCTTCCCTCTCGTGCTTTCTATCTCTCATTCTCTCTCTCTCTCTCAAATAAATAAATAAAATCTTTAAAAAAAAAAAATAACCCCCCAAATTTACTTCTTTATACCTTTTCCAAAAATAAACAGAAGACACAGCTCCTTCGTGTCGTCATGCAGCCCTTCCCCCGAAAGGACTGAAGGTGTGGAGAGAAGGCCGCTCCCCTGGACGCGCTCACGAGCGAGCCGGGCAAGCCTCCGCCGGCCGCACACCGGGCACTGAGTCCTACGGGGGGGTGGCTCGAGCCCGTCCCCGGCCCGTTCTCCGTGCTCGGACGAGAGCAGGACAGGCGCGGCCAGGCGGGGGGGGGCCGCACCCTGGGGGGGGGCCAGGGCCCCCCGGGGGGGGGGGGCCCCCAAGACTGACCTTAGGGTTAACGTCGGCGTCGTCCTCGTCCTCCCCCTCCTCGTCGCCTTCCAACTCCTGCGAAAGGGTGAGAGCGAGCTCAACACGCGGCGGAAGCCCCTGCGGAGCCGGCCCGGGCTCCGGCGGGAAAGCAGCGATCGCCGTCCGCACGTGAGCGGGCCCCTCCTGGGCCACGGGTCTGTGGGCTCCTCTTTGCTCTCAGCGGTAACGGACATGAACGCGACGCTGAAAACGCGAGCTGTTTGTTCAACCGACGTTCCCTCGGCCGGTTTTCACAGGCCGACCGCGGGGTCAACAACGGGACGCAGGGACAGCACCTGCAGTGTCCGCCCCCCCGCCCCCCGTTTCAACCGCGTGGAGGCCCTGAGGCAGCTCCACCCAAACCGGGCATGACGGGCGGCCGTCCGCTCTAGCAGAGGCAGCCTAGCGGGGCCTCAGGGGAAGGACTCTCCACGTCTGCCGTGTCTTACCTCCTCCTCTCCTTCCTCACCCTCTTCAAACTGAAAAAGGAAAAAGGAAACAAGATTTAGGTCTCGAAAGCAGGAGGGCAGCCTGGCCCAGGCACGGTCCCTGTCAACCGCCCTACGCCGGGCAGGCCTGGGGGCCGCGGAATTGCAGCCTGGCTTCTGGGCAGAGGGCAGCACCCGCTCCAGGCCCGTCTGGGGGCGGGGGGGGGGGGGGGGTGGCCACAGTCGGCCACTGGGCTCCTCGACCCCAACACTGTGGGCCGGGCCGGGGCCAGCGCCGCAGGGCCGCCTGTTCGAGAGCCCCGCGGTGTTGATAGGACGCCGGGTACCTGCAAACCACACAAAACAAGGCCTGAGGACGGGGAAGGGCGCAGAAAGGAGGCGGTCAGCATGAGCACGTACCGGGGCCGCCGGGGGGGGCGGCTGATCTAATGTAAACCAGGAGCATGATTCTACTACGCAGACACACGAATTTCAACGGTATTTTTTTAACTCGTACAAGGGTAAATATTTACACATTAGAAATGTGATAAAACCTTGGTGTTTAAGTGTATAGAAGAAAACCCCAACACTATGGTCAGTTGGTCTTGAATGAATTTCTTCAAGGTCCAAAGACATCACAGGTCAGACTCTCCCTCAAACTCCACCTATCAGACGCAGATCAAGACCAAACACAAAACAAAACAAAACAAACCTTATCACTATCACCTGCATGACACAAGAGACCTAAAGATTTACCACGCTTTTCTTAAGAACATTTTTCTTATTGGAGCCCACACATATATTCCTTAGCGACAGCTCACACAGAACTCGTACGGGCCTGAGGGCTGGTGGGGCCCAGCTGAGGCACCAGGCCCAGCACGCGCACCCTCTTGCACCAGCTGGGCCGTCAGGGGTCCAAGCATGCCCCAGTAGTGCCCTTTCCAGCCTCTGACAGGGAAAGACCTAGGCAAACCTTGTCTTGCAGCCAATCACATTTTCGCTCAGACTGAACTAGCCTCAAACAGGCTCAAGCGCGGATTTTCTGAGGTTCTCAGATCATTTCACTCTGGACCTGGAGGGTCCTGTGGCAAACACATCTCACACTGATGTACAGCAGGGGTCGCTAAGTCGGGGTACAGAGCCCGTGGGACCTGCAAGCCGAGCCGAGAGAATATGGAAGACAGAACCAGCACCCCCAGCTCCATTTCCTTCTACAACGACGTGGAGTGCTTGTGCAGGTTTCCAACGCATCAGACCCCTGCAACTTTACCTCTATGCCAACGTGCACTAAGTAATGGTGCCAACAGGTGTTCTCCGAAGAGCCCGACAAGCCATCAGAGTCACTACAGCCGTGAGTGGTGAAGTCAAGACGCTGGTCTCAGCAGGCCTAAGTGGGGTGCCCCCTCGTAACCCCTCAACGACACTGCTGGGCAGCAGCACCTGCATCGGAGGTGTTGGGCGTGGACACATATAGACAGAGGACACACAGAGGACACGCAGAGCACTGCACCGCTCACCAGTACTATCCACTCACTCTGCCTGTATCTTAAGTAAATAAATATATATAAACTGCACAGTCACGTTTTAAAACGGATGGGCGTATGATCAAAAAAGTGTGGAGGGAAGACCGCTGGTCTAGAGATACGCTTTCCAGTGTGTGTAGTCACTAGATCTTTGGGGCTACATTAAATAAAGTGGAACCATGCAGTTCCACAGCTGTCAACAGATTCATTCTACATCTTCGAACGTCACGTGGGGCCAGTCCCACCACACTGGACAGAGCAGGCCGAAGACAGCTCCGCCACCACAGACCGTGCTGGTGTACAGTCTGCCGTGCCGACTCAAGCCTTAGCAATCACCTGAGGGCTCCGACGAGCCAACACTACGCCGACGTGTGTGCTGCATGTTCTCCTGCCCACAACCCCCTCCTGGCCCAGGGATGGACGAACAGCCTTTCCAAAGTGAACGAGTCTCAGACCACACAGCTCACACACACTGGACAGGCCATGCCCCCGGGCTGGGACCATCAGCACAGAAAACATGAGAAGCAGGCATTCACTGCTCTGGCCGCTAAGCAGCTCAAACCTGCCCGGCTCCTGCTGCCCATCTGAAACCTCAACAGACCGCTTAGAAAGGAAACCTAGAACCACCCAGGAAACCTAAGAGCTCTAAAAGCAAGGGAATAAGTATCTGAAACATACTACTAACTGCACACTATAAAACAAAACTTTATTCCCACAAATCAAGAAGACGGTGAGCCGAGCCTGGGTTATGATGGAGAACTACCTCGGGTGACCGTCAAAGGACAGCTAGGGAGGCTGTGCTCAAGCAGGGAGGTGGGGGAGAGAGAAAAAGGGGCCTGCGCAGCCTGGCCACCCCTCTGTGCACCATGGGTATCAAGTCTTTGGCACCGCACACCACAGGCTAAGAGGAGTCAGCTCTGTACATAACCTCTTGCTGTGATCAGACCTCTGAAAAGGAGATGTTTTTCCTCACGTTTCCAAGTCACCCAAAGCTTACAGACCTTAAGCAGGACAGGGTGAGCACCTGGGGCCTTTCAAGGATGCTGTCCGTGGACGGGGCTGGCACTCTGCTGCTCCAAGAGCACCCAGAGCCCTGCTCGGCCCCCACCCCCGCCACTAAGGGTCCCCCAGGCTGCTGCTCAGGGCACCCCCCACCGCCAGAGGCAGGCCCCCAAGGGCTCCCGCCCACATACGTTGTCGTCATCCTCTATGGCCTCCCCTGTGAAGTAGAGCACGGCCCGCGGGACTATCCGCTCACGAAAGAAGTGTCCGATTTCAAAGTCAGAGGCTAATGTGAATTCCGAGTCTTCATCCTGAAAAGGGAAAACCTCAATGTTAACTCACGTATACGGGTGAGCGCTATGCCCCCCACCCGCACCGCGCCCCTCGCTCTGGGGGACCCAGCACTGCTGGGGATGGCGGGGTGCTCTGGCCCCGCCCCGCAGTGTCGTGAACACAGTGCACCCCGGGCCTCAGGGAGGAGGGAGGGACTGAAAAGAAGGTAGGCCACTACTCTGAAGATACAGAATGTGACAGCACGAGGGCCCCAATGACAACACAAAGCTTACCAGTGACTCTCCATCCCCAGACGCTAGGGAAAAAGACAAAACATAGGCATGTTATGCTGACAACCAAAGCCTTTGCAAGCGCACGCGGGCGGCTCCGAGGACAGGGAGGGTGGAACAGGGCACATCTGGAGCCCTGTGTCTACCGCGGTGCCCTGGCCGCCCGCCCCTGCCTGACCTGCTTGGGAACGTCAACTGGGGAGAAGCTCTTCCTAGTTTAGTGTTAACACGTGGAAAGGCCTATCAAGGGGCCCCAGACTGCGGCCACTCGGTGCATTTACGCCTTCCGGAGAGTGAACCAGCGCCTGCAACCCTGCACGACTCTGCAGGGAAAAGGACAATCGCCAAGCCTCGTGTCTGAAGCACTGCACCTCAGCGGGGCAACAGCGGCTGTGTCCACGTGCAGAGGAGGAAGGCGAGGACACAGTGCTGAAGCGTCCTTCCCACGAAATGGAAAGACTCCCTGTGGGCAGGAGGGTGCTGCTGGTCGCTGCCCACCACAGAGCACCGCACGGCTCGCCGAGGGGCAGCTCCACACACGTGTGCATGTGGGACACACACATGTGCGCGTGCACACAGCTACCGAGATTGCTGCTGCACTGGAGCCTGACCCAGAACTAAGGTGACAGGAAAGATGGGGACTTACAACCACTCAACAAAGCCCAGTGACACTCCAATGATCACGTGACTCAAACCCCAGACTTTAGAGATGCTTGTTCAAGGCCCGGTCTTGCCAGGAGCTGGACGCTTATGGCGCTGGCCGCAGCCTGCCTCTCGGGGCCTCTCCCAGCTTGCAGTTCCCCATGGGCTGGGCACCCGCGCGTCAACACCACCCCTATGGCACTGTCCCCGAGTCTTGGCACGTGAGCACCCACCATGGGCTAAGATTTGGGTCTGGGGACTTTGGCCAGGGACTTTGCTCATGTGACTTTGGGACATGTTTTGTAGACTGAAGGACAAGGAGCGCACCGGACCAGCCAGCTTATGTTTCCTTCATTTCAAAACATGTTACCTCAATTTCGACATTTTTTCCTTGCCTGCCCCATCACCGCCCCATGGTCACTTTCTATTTGTTTACAGAACTCATCACTTGATATTATGTGTGATTACTTTAAAGGAGCTACGTTTACATGCAATTCATCTACCAGAGAACTGAAGTGTATAATTCAATGACCCAGAGGTCATTTTTAGAGCTGGACAACCATCACAGAACAGTTTTAGAACCCCAAACGTCACCCCCCCCAAATTCTGAGTCCACTTAATTTCATTTTGATTTTATTAAATTACTTAAAATCCAATCTTAAGAAACCTTCCAACAAAGCCACTGCATTTAGGAACCAAAGCCCCTCTGCTTCACAGTGAATTCATGCAAGTGACCGCCAAAGGGAATTCTCTAAAACAAGGAAACTGAACAACCACATCATGGCTACTGTTACCCCAGACCAATACACATCTGCATCCTCTAGGCTCAAAGACAAATCACAGAAAGATATGGGGCCGAAGGGCAGAGCTTGCGAAGCGAGGGCCCTCGGCTCAGAGACAAAGTCCTGGTCCAAGGCTCACACTTGAGAGTGGAGCCACCCTGTGGCCGAGGGCGAACAGCTCACACACCCACCAATTACCTGTGGCATGGACGGGCAGTTCTAGATTTCAATCTGTTTGTGTTCATGGAAAATAAAATGTTTTATCCTGACTATCCTAACACTGACAACCGGCCTGGCCTCCGCATTCTCTCAGGTTTAGAAAATTTTAAGACTTGCCACTATTTGGGACGCCTGGGTGGCTCAGTCAGCTGAGCGTCTGCCTTCAGCTCAGGTCATGACCCCAGGGTCCTGGGATCAAGTCCCACATCGGGCTCCTTGCTCAGCGGGGAGTCTGCTTCTCCCTCTGCCTCTACCTCTCCCCCCCTTCTCGTTCACTCTCAAATAAATAAGATCTTTAAAAAAAAAAAAAAAAAAAAAGACTTGCCAGTATTTACTCTCAAAACCTGTTGCTCACCCTCCACGAGGTCAAACTTTCCATCTTTATTTTATGACTTAAGGGGGAAAAAAAAAATCGAAGTTTCCAAGCTAAGTCTTTTAAAACTGGAAATCCAATTACTTGTGTTGTCACGCTATTATCAACTCCCAAGCCCCTTGAGTTCTACCAAGTCACGGAGAAAAACAAAACAAAGCTGAATTTATGAGAAAGAGAGGGTAGGGGATGCTCCCCAAGCTGCGCAGGTGAACCGGAGTACAACCAGCCACAGAGGGGGCCTGCAGCAGGACGGGCGGCCCGAGGGACGTCAGCAGGCCCCAGCAGTGAGGTGCGGAAGTGCCGGCTGGGGGCACTCCTGGCATCACTCCAGCTTTCTCAGCGTGGAGCTCAGAGAGCCCGCCAAGCCTTCCCTTCCTGCTACAAGGAGGACCCACTACCCCTACTAACCCCGCACCCCGTGAGCACCAGCACCACGGCTCCTGGCACAGCAACCGTGTCCTTACGTAGGCCACTCTCGCCAGAGGACCCAGACAGGACTCAGGGTAACAAAGTGACTTCGTGTAGTACATAATCAACGTCCACAACACAACCTACTCACCTTTCAGCGGGCTGAAAAAGTTGAAAAACGAGTCGTTGGGAACTTGTTTGGTAATTGTTCTCACTGTGCCTCGGCCCTTATGTTTCTGCTTCTTCTTGATTGTTTTGACTGTAACATTTTTCCCTTTCTTCCAGTCAATAGCACACCTACAGGGACAGATGGCCATCACGCACACAGACATATGCCCTGAGAAACACCACGAACGTCCACGGTAAACAAGGCACAGCTAGAGGCTGAACTTGGACGATGTAGGCAAACCAGGCTGCCAGCCAGCACTGCACACCTATGAAGCCCATGCGACGGCTGGCAAAAGGGAACAGGCCAAGCGGCCTCGGCTGCCACGGCACCATCTGAAGCCCGGGTCTTCTCCCCTGAGGAACCCCCTTCCCCACCCCGGCCAAGTATGTTTGCTGTGACCAAGCCCAGTCAAGGCTGGGCCAAGGTGCCCAGAGGATGCACAAGAGCTTGTCACCTGCTGCCTTCGTCCAGACCCCAGAGCACACCTGAAGTCACCCACTCACGCACCCAAATTCTCAAGGCAGCTAAGCGAGCAGGACAAGGTGAAGAGGCGGAAGGGGACCGCTGCACGAAGTACTGATGGGGGCGGAGCGCAGTGGGTCCGGGCTGCCGAGTGGGCCCGGCGGGGGGGCGAGCCCCGCAGGTTTGCTCATCTTTCAATTGCTGTGGACCCACACGGATCCCCTGGCAGCGCATGACTAGCGTCTGCTCGGGAACATGCCTGGAAAGGCCGGCCCACTTCCCACACGACAGCCTGGCCCTGGGAAATGCGCTCGCAGAGTCACTCTTGCCATTCAAGTCTAGCAGCGTTTTAATAAAGCTCCGAACTGCTCATACGCAAGATTCAGAAGTACTTGGTTCCAGTGAGTAAGGGTAATTGTGCCAGTTCAAAAACAATTTCCCAAACCAAAAAACCACAATTTCCCAAACCATCTCAAACAAACCAAGAGGAAAGAACTCCAAACCCTATTCTCTCCCCAGTGATCTCACTTGAAATCACCAAGGTGCTCCATCATGAGTCCAACAATTAAACTGCCTCCCCAATTTCCAAAGCAAACAACTGACCAGTACTGCCCTGCCCCGACTCATCTGTTCACTCAGCAAATATTTGCGGAGGGTCGTTTATCAGCTCAGCGAGGACAGCATCATGCAAGGGACCTAGAGAACCCAATCCCTCCATCTGATGAGGAGACCAGGCCCCCAGCCCCCACTTGGCACATGTGACCTCATGACACATTTCCCAGCGCAGGCCATCACAACCCCCCACAGAAAGACTAGTTAATGTAAATCTTGGTCTACTGGGATTTTAAGAAGATTAAAGACATTTTGTTTTATTCCTGATTTCTCTTACTTGTTAAGTTCTAAAATCATCCGTTTTTCTTTCAGAAATAGAAGGTGAAATGGCGAGTCCTTACCCGTCACAGTCAACTATTTCAGGACCTTCGAAGGAAAAGGGATCGGCCTTATCCGGCTCTGACTTCATCTTGTATGTTTTTGTCAGGACTGAATTGGTAAAGTAGTCGTTGGGTTCAAAGTGGAACTCTAATACAAAAGACTGAAAACAAAAACTCAGGTAAGTACCACTTAAAAATCTACAAGCAATCAGTGACAGACTTCACGAACCCCACAGTACGTACTGGAGACCAGCGCCTCTCTGAGCGGGACGCCACAGACAGAAACCGTTATGGAAAAGTTCAACAGGTATGGCCACGTGTCAAGAAAAACTTGATTAGGAAAAACAGCAGCAGCTAGTTCAAACACGAACGACAAGTGGGGGAATACCTGTGCCGCTTCAGCCCGAGCAGAGAGCACGTGACCCTCTGAGCCCCCTCCCCAGTAGAGGTCCAAGCTCTCCTGAGAGACCCTAGCTTCTCTCTGCCGCCCCGGGCTCACCCCGGCGGAGCTGGAGGGTCTGGACTAGGGGACACCAGGCAGCAGGGTCCAGCCCGCCCCTCCTTCTACACTTGCATTCAGACAGAGCACCGCCTTCCCTGCCGCACAAAGGGGCCAGACTCTGCGAGGGTGGGGAGCACTGCCTGGGCCTCCCCAAACCACACCAAGGAAGGACAAGTTCATCCTTTGTTCACAAAGCACTGTGTAATCTGAAGAGACAAGCTTAAGAGGAAAAATGGACACAGGGTGTGTACATAGCAGCAGACACAAATAAAGTCAAGTGGCAGTAAGAAGGAGTCTTGCTTTCTTCTTACCAATGTATGAATAATATGTAGAACTGGCAAGTGTTTTGGGAAATCAGGTCCAGTCATATACTGTAAATAGCTTTATAAAGGACCATCTGGCAAGATCAAAAAATTAAGGTAAAATAAAATTCTCTGACCTGGTAACTCTACTCAGAGGAATTTATTGTTTGGGAAAAGACACCTGGGTGATGCATCATCAGTATGTGCAAAGATGCTCACCTCAGCCCTATTTTAAGGAAGAAAAGAGGACGTTGGTTAAGTTAAGTTATAGTGATACTTTTATAAGACTAACTCTGGGTTCACATCACTTCTGCCTGTAGGTGCTGCGTGATCTTGTCAAATCACTCTGTCTCTGCTGCTGTTTCCTCATCTACAAAGTGGAAAGCACAATCCTCTCTCTCTCCCTGAGCTGACTAGAGGATTGACCTACGGAAGCACTTAGAACAGGGTTTATACAGGCTTACAGGCAGTGCTTGCTAAACGTTAGCTATTTCAATTTTCATTATAATGTATAAGGGTACAATTATCAACTGGGAAAAATAGATTAAACAGATTAAAACCAAACTACTTCCACTAAGGGGGAAGTGGAAACCAGACCGTGAAGAGCTCGAGTCCCCTGCAAGCTCAGCAACAGCACCCCACACAACCCCCTCTCCGCTCCTTGCCCAACCCCCAGGGCTACACCCACCCACCGTGAAGACAGAAGCAAGTGTTCAGTCAGTGAAGAGGCCGCTATGATCCCAGAACCGCTGCAGGCTGCGACCGCAAGCGTGGGCAGGCACCCTGGGGGCCAGGGAGGGCTCACGAACATCACCGGGGGCCCCGCCTCACTCCCTATGCTGGCACGGATCACACTACTCCTCTATCTCCCACCTCCCGCCCTACCAGCTCTCCAGACCAAGTATGAGATCTCCTTTCTTCGTGTTTTCCTATCCTTTCCTTCCCCATGGCCTCTGTTTAGTCTAGTATAACACACGACTGGGGATGAACCAAGAAAGGGTTTAAGGGGCACCTGGATGGCTCAGTCGTTAAGCGTCTCCTTGGGTCATGATCCCAGGGTCCTGGGATCCAGTCCTGCATCGGGCTCCCTGCTCCGAGGGGAGCCTGCTTCTCTCTCTGCCCCACCCCCCAGCTCCTGCTCACTCTGTCTGAAATAAGCAAAATCTTTAAAAAAGAGAAAGAAAAAGAGAGAGAGACAGGGAGGGTTCAAGTCCGACAGAAAAGGGCCCACAGATGAGGTCGCCTCCAACACACACAATACCCTACAGCCAGTCAGCCATAAGCACGGAGCAGAGTCCGCACGTGGGTGTGAACAGACGCCGCTCCTGCCCAGCGCGGTACACACGCTGCCACCGGCTGTGCCCGCCCCGCCCCAGGCGCTCCAGCCTCGGCAGACGGCACACGGGGACTCTGCACTGTTGCTCAAGTTCTGCACTAAGCCTGAAATTATTTCAAAACGGAGACAAAGCCAGGATAATTTACAAAAAAGAAAGTGCAAAAAAAATGCGTAAATGAACCACATTTGAACCTTATAAATGTTCACCTCCTTTAACCCAGTAAAACTGCACTAAAAGGAATCGAAACTGAGGAAATCGGCGAAGACTTAAACAAAAATTTGGGTTCAAGTATGCTATCATAATGCAACAATTCAGAATGGGGCAGAGGTGGCAGCGGCACATGTGGGCACCGTTAAATCACTTTACAGCCCACAGAGGAAAGGACAACTATTTCCCAGCCCGCAGAGCCGGTACAACACTGTCTACACCTGTAATCCCACTCTGCTGCAGGGTAAGTGGGAGACCCCGGAGAGGAGCAGAGATGTGGTCACGGGAGAAACAAACACACTGGCCCTGCTTCATTCTGAAGCTAGATATGGTTTGTATTTCTAATTTTATTGTCTAAAATATTTCATAATGATTTTAAAAAGACAAAGACTATAGATAACCTGACTCCACGGCTGAGAGGTCTGTAGGCTGTTCCTAACACCTTCCTGTATTTTCCCAGCGTTCCACAGCCAGGGTGCATGACTTTTCTAACAGAGGAAGTGACGAGGGGGAGAAGGATGACTGGCTCATGCTCTACCAACACTAGGGCTCTTGTCTGTCTATAAACCACTGTAAGAGATGGAGGAAAACGTCAGACAGGCTGAGAAAGAAAACAGACCCAGGAAATCACCCAAACAGGTGTCTGGTAACAGCAAAGCAGGAAAAAAACAATTGATCCAGGGGGGAAGAATTAATAAATGGAGTGTGGAGAAATCACAGGTGAGAAAGAAGTGTTAGGGAAACACTGACACAGAAACTTACAACAGCAGGCACCTCCCTCCGCCCACGCAAGTGAACAACCGCAGACTGCCCCACTCGGCCTCCAGGGGGCGCCAGGGCCCAGCCTCCGCAGAGGCCAAGGAAAAGGCCCTGTAATAACCCAATTAACCAGGTGCAGTAGGCAAAGGGGTTCCCCTCAGCCTGTGAGCAGGCATCACACCAGCTCGTGCCCAGGCCCCCACCTGCAGAGAGAGAACCGAATGTCACCTCCCAGAGTGAGCTAGGCAGGAAAAGTGGAAGGGACAGATCCAGCGTGTCCCCCTGCCCCTTGCCTCCAGGAAGGCACCTGCAGGACCAGGGAGGGAAATCGCACCTATGCTAGCCCTCATCCATGACCTGGGGCCAGTGCTCTGTGATGGGGAGGGAGGAAGAGCCGGACCCCCGGTCCCAGGCCGTGTCCCCAGGACCTGAAACTGACAGCCACGAGTCAGTCAGTCACGAGTCGCTGGACCTGCTGTGGCACCGGAATGGAGCCTGTCAGCCACTGCCAGGCTAACAGGCCACGAACAGTGCCTCTATGAGGACCCAGCTCCCGCAGGGTGGCGGGCCCCACTCTGAGGAGGAAAGGAAGGGCTGGCTTGAGTCAGGCCCCTCTCGCAGCACAGCAAGCTGCTGGGAAGAGGTGTTATACGACAGTGCAGGGACACGTTGTTCAGGTTTGCCCACCTGCAGTTACGTTCTTGGTAAAACCCAGTAGGCTTCGTTCGTTAGCGTCTCGGGTTTCTATTAAAGTGCTGCTCATATCTGAGTACATACCTACCATCCTGTTTTACAGACGTTAGGTCCTCAGAAACCTGGGAGACACTCAGGAGAAAGACATCACCCCCTCGGACAAGGAACAAGCCAGCTCAAAGAGTGGTGCACAGTGTGGCCAACACCACGGCCAAGGAGTCCAGTGCTGCGTGGACTCCTGCACCTGCCACACGCAGCCCATGGCCTGAGCTGCTTGCCGGGCTGTGTCAGAGCTGCTGGGCAAGACCCAGGAAGGCCGCATGAGAACATTCTAGTTCTTGGTGAGCATCTCGCTCAGGACCACCCTGAAAGTGTGTGGCCAGGTTTGCACCTCCTGCCCCGGCCCCAAGCCACTCATCATCAGTGATGTTCTGATGCCAACCAGGAGCTCAATCAACCAGTACTCACCATAGGCTGCCCAGGGTCTGAAAACTTCACTTTAATATCCTGCAGGTGCTTCAAGATCGGCTCATCATACTCCTGATTAACAAGAGAAAAAAACAAAGTTCTAGTGGGCGTTTCTCCAGACAACACACACGTTCCCCCTATGACTTGCTGTTGCATACACTCCCAGATGCTGGCTAAGCACGCCCTGCTGGCATTCTGGCCTCATCAAGTTAAGAACTCCCAGGAAGCCGCCCACATCTGTGCACTGACACGCAGTCCCAGGGGCCGGCAACAAGGTGCCACTTCTCTCTGGCCCGGAGCACTGAGAAACATCAGCCAGGCAGGGAGGGCAAGAGCCCAGCTGTTTTCCCACGACTGCCCACTGCCACTGCATACAGGGACCGACCAGGCCTGCTGGTCCTCACATCTCTGAAGAGAGAACCAGAAGAAACACCTCGGTCTGCTATGGGCCTTGTTGGTCAATTTCCTGCCCTCACATCTTCCCGCTTGTCCATTCACAGTAAGATGGGGAAGGGTCTTGAGTTTGTTCATAGGCTCCGTGGGGTGAGGCGGCAGACCTCAGGTAAGAAGACGACAAGTCGTGCCTCAGCTGCAGAGGTGCAGGCCTTCCCAGCAGCACCGCAGTAGAAGGTAGCAATGGAGGCCTCCAACAGTAGGATCCCCGCCCCAGGAGATCAAGAACACTCCTATGAGCTGTTGGTCACGCAAAGTGCTTTTCCACCCACCATGAACAACCGCTAAACTCCGAGTTAAGTGGTTCATAAATAAATATTAAGACTAAGATCTCTCTATAGGGTGGGAATTTGCTTACCTGGACTAATTCACTTAGCATATCTACATTTCTAAAGATGGTAAACCAGAACTCTGGAATTCCTCTGGGGTTTGGCTCCTCTCCTGTTGCTGCTTCTTTTTCTGCTAGGACTACTTTATTTTTCATGTCTCCCTAAAATAAATAAATAAATAAATAAATAAAGATGCCAAAGAGAACGCTTACCACAAAGCAACACATTTACATTCAATGACTTAATGCAGAATGCAAGTTTCAGAATCCTGCACAAACTTCTATCAAAAACTGTGTTCCTTGCATCTGCATCTCCAAGACCACCATGTATGTCACACTTTTAAATGTTTCTAAGGAACAAAGCAATCAAAGCACTCCATTCAGATGTGACTCTATGATATAATTTTAGAATTCTGAGTGCCATCAACCTTGGGGAAGGTGCCAAGTGCCAGCTCTATGAGACATCCGTCTTGGGCCAGCCAGCCACCCAGCACCAGATGGGAGACTCCAGTGCCCACGGCAACAAGGAACGCCAGCAGCGTGTACGTCCAACGGTAAGGAGGGGGCTATAAACATCCAGACAGAAACTGCACGCAGACATCAGGGAGGTGACCCGACAGCACAGGCCACACGCAGAGGTGTCTCTCTTACACTGCGGCCCACGGAGGTCGAGCACGAGATGGAGCCAGTGCAAGTGCAAACACTTCATCACGGGGGATTCTTACGTGGAAATGATCAGAAGGGGCTTTTTAAATTAACAGAGGCAGATTGTTCTTGAGAAATAAGGAAGTGATTCACAACTAGATCCATCCATAACCACAGCCTCAACTAGGCCAGGTTCTACAATATGTTTGAAAGATCAAAAACATACGGTTACTACAACTAACATACACTTCAAATAAATTCCCTAAAAAGGAATCCTGATAAAAAAAGGATAAAAGCTACTTGTCTTCCAAACAAACTTCAAGTGGACAAAGTTACCCTGCAGCATGTCGTAACTTTCTGTGGCACCAGAATGGGACCTGTTGAAGGCTGTGAGCAGGTGATGAGAAGCTCCCAATCTAAAGTGGCTGGGTGCACCGTGGCGATTTTGTCGCCACTGCTGGTCCTGGAGGAGGGTGGCCCGGACGCCCACCACGCCCTCCTCACAACCCTGACCTCGCAGCGACTACCGACACAGGTGTCCCCTCCCCTGTGGGACTTCGCTTTTGCCTCAATATAAGACTCTTCCTGATGTTTTCGTCTCTGTCCATCCAATCCCACATCTCACTATCCTATGGCATGGAGCTGTTTAGACCACTGAGCAGGGAGAGCGTGTCTGGTTCACAGAATTAACGGATACTGGACCTGCCTGCCGCTCAGGAGTCTGATGACAAAGAAATCGAAACGGCCAACCCAAGGTGGAAATAGCACCTACTGTCAGGAGTTCTTTCCTTTGTGATGTTGTAAGAGACTAAGTAACAGCACTGACACAGCACAAGCTGCCGTCGTCCGAACACAGTACTCACAGCCAACTTCTCCTCCTCCCCGTTGTCGCTGTGCCACTCCGACTCTGCGTCCGTCGGCTCCACGTCCCCCGTGATGAACTCCCTTCTCTGAGTAAGAACGAGACCTTCTTAGAGTTAGGCCAAGTTAGTCAGAAGCTCAAGAGTTCAGTTTGTAAATGATGTCTGTGAAAACCAATGCTTTTATAACTTAAGATTCTACATTTTAGGGCTCGAAGGAGACCCGTTCAAGGACCCATCACTCCATAAACATGGGAGTCTTACGTGAAGAAAGCTCTGAAACCACGCAGGCAACGCAGCGGGAGCTGCCCACCTTGTCGAAGAGGGGCTGGTACAGGGCGGCGTACTTCCTCTCCAAGTCGTGCACCTCCTCGTAGAACTTGGCTTCTATGTGGGCGCACCTCACCTGCAGCTGCTTCAGTGCGTTGACCCTTCTCTTCACGGCTTTCGGCAAACTGAACAGGGAAGGAAAGGGAAAACATCCTTATGCCTGCAAAGTAAGGCAGCGTGCTTCTCAATCTTCTTAAAATAAATTCAGGCTACCATAGAATTCACATCCTTACTACAGAAATGAGCTCCTAAACATCATTAGAAGGACGAACATCCCAACAAGAGGGGTGGGGGAGATGCCGACGGATAATCCACAAAAGAAAAAATACAAAGAATCAAACACGGAAAGAAGGTTCAATCCCACAAAATATCTGAAAGAAAGTTAATTTAAAAGAACTGCTGTCTGTTCCTTACCAAACTGGCAATTAAAAAGAACCTCCTGGGTTTGATTAAGCCCGAGGGCACAGAAGTCCTCTAACCGACTCATCCACCTTAAAGGCAAAGCAGAACCTGAATGTTCCTTGGGTCCAGTAACTCTACTTCTAAGAACTTATGCTAAGGAAATAACCAAATACTTATGTGCTGGTATGTCCACTGAGGCATTATTTGTGAAAGTGGAAAGCTGGAAATAATGACAAGTTGAACAGCATTAAAACACAGCCTGTCCAAAATCATGTTTTCAAAGAATATTCAGCACCAAGTGAAGGCTTCATGTGATGCACTAAGGGAAATATCAAGACAAGTGGGGTCTGTTCCCTTCCAGGGTCAGGCAACTTTGAGCTTCTTTGCCTTTTGATACTTCTCTATATTCTTTTATTTTTTTAAGGATTTTATTTATTTTACAGAGAGAGTGAGTTGAGGGAGGAGCAGAGGGAGCGGGACAAGCAGACTCCGTGCTGAGCACAGAGCCGGACGCGGGGCTCAATCCCACAACCGTAAGACCATGACCTGAGCTGAAATCAAGAGTTGGACGATCAACCCAGGCACCCCAGTACTTTTCTATATTCTAAAAATATTTTAGTTTGTAAGCATTACTTTTAATAAATCAGAAAAAACAAAACCCCTTTTAATCACATCAAAACTGTAAGTTTAGCATGAAGCCCTTGGTCACCATCTGGAACAAAGAGCAGATTTCTGGGCCTCATCACAGACCCATACAGCCCTCCCAGGCAGCGTCCACCTGGGCTGAGCCCTTGAGGTGGGGCTAGCAGTAGCCTGGGCACTCTACCCTTCCTCCAACAACTCATGGAGTCCTAGCTGTTCCTATGCACAGCACTGTTTAGAAAGTACTGGAAGAGCCTTAAATAGAGCCTTAAATCACAAAGGACCCCTGCCACCCTACCCACAGCTACCTCATGGGAAAGGTCCTTTACCAAGACTCCTAACTACAGTCCCGTCTCTAGGACCACTGCCGGCAGGAGAACAAGGAGGAAGCACAGTGAGGACCTCATGAAATGGCAGACATACAGAAACATCTGTATTTCTTTTCTGCATTAATCACACAATTCCAAGTGTCTTTTATCTTTCTGTATCTTCCTAAGATACAGAGTAAAAATAACAAATAGAGTAATAGAGTAAAACATAGAGTAAAAATAACAAATGATTTTAAGCAAACTGGACCCTGATACCCTACACCCAACTGTCCTCCCCCCATCAGTTACAGTACCTCCGCACTGTCCCGCCAGCAGGCATTTACCACGTAGTACGTCCAACAGGGAGCCGATCCTATTCCATGAAGCCTCGTTCCTAGCCCCGGCATTCCCTCTCCATGAAACCCACCCACTCACCCGGAGTCTAGCCAGAAAACTAGAGACCACTACCATCCTCCACTCTCCCACTCCCAGGCAGTATCACAAGTCCACCAGCGGAGAGCCAGCAGGGAGCCAGCACCCCGCCCTGCGCATGGCCCGGCGGCGCCCCCGGCTAGGGAACCCCCCGCCCCCCACCGCACCTCCCACCACAGGCCTGCACCTCTACCACCTGCTGAGCCTAGGCACTACTCTTTGGAATCCAGTGCCTGGTTCTCAGCACCCAAAGTCTGCTCAATGAGAAAGACACTTATTGCTAGTCTAAGGAACCAGGAAATCAGTCTTTTTCCCTTTGTTTCTTAAAGTTGTACCGAGTCCCATGCACAGCATACTTACGTCTCAATGTAACTTGAAGGAGTGTGGGAGACATTGTCAAGCCGTTCCTGTAAAGCTGCCAAAACTTGAGGATTCTGCATCACCTGATCAGTGAGCTTTTCTATTAAGAGGTAAAAACAAGGTCAAAACATTTCAAATATCCCTGACACAGAACAGCCAAGGGTAGAAAATCATCAGCATGTATCTACCCAGCTATGTTAATTCACTTTAATATCTAAATGTAGCAAGGGGCTTCTTAAGAACATGTTTTAAAAATACTTGAAATTTAGGGCGCCTGGGTGGCTCAGTCGTTAAGCGTCTGCCTTCGGCTCAGGTCGTGATCCCAGGGTCCTGGGATCGAGTCCCGCATCGGGCTCCCTGCTCGGCGGGAAGCCTGCTTCTCCCTCTCCCACTCCCCCTGCTTGTGTTCCTGCTCTCGCTATCTCTGTCTCTGTCAAATAAATAAATAAAATCTTAAAAAAAAAAAAAAACTTGAAATTTATTTCATTTTTTTAGATGGGGGGTTGGGCAGAGGGAGAGGAAGAGAGAATCTCAAGCAGACTCCCCGCCCAGCACAGAGCCTGACATGGGGCTCGATCACAGGACCCTGAGATCAAGACCTGAGCCAAAATCAAGAGTTGGACACTTAACCGACTAAGCCACCCAAGCACCCCCTCAAATGTACTTTAAAGGCATTTGATCCGCTGTTACCCAGCTGAGCAGGCGGTCAGAAATCCACTGGAGGGGGCGCCTGGGTGGCTCAGTCGGTTGGGCGGCTGCCTTCGGCTCAGGTCATGATCCTGGAGTCGTGGGATCAAGCCCCACGTCCGGCTCCCTGCTCAGCGGGGAGCCTGCTTCTCCCTCTCCCTCTGCCTGCCACTCTGCCTACTTGTGCTCTCTCTCTCTCTCTCTGTCAAATAAATAAATAAAATCTAAAAAAAAAAAGAAGAAATCCACTGAAGGGCACCCAGCTAGTTCTGGTTCTTGCTTCAGCTGTTTAAGCCTCAAACCTCCCGAACAAAGATGTCATCACCTCCCAGTTCAGGGTCCTATCTCCTGCCACCTCACTTTCTCTCCCCAAGACCTAAGGGGGCCCAGAAGCCAAGAACAGGGACAAGGAGACTGTCCCTCAGAGAACATCAGCGCTTTCTTGTGGCCTGGCTCACGTCCCAGGAAGCCCTACGTGCACCGGCTCCTGGTGCACCAGACATGCGAGCGTTCTCACCTCCACCTTCACCTACACTGCCCTTCTGCCCAAACCGCCCCCACGCCGCACTTCCTCACTACCCCCTCCCAAAACTCACTGGCCCCCTCCTCCCACACTGCCCTGGTGGCTCACACACATCTGCACTGTTTCCCAATGAACAAACAAGACACTGAAGGGGAAGGAAGGTCTTTCACTCAACTATAACCAGGGAGTGGCCCAACAGAACACCTGCCCACGGCATAGACTCTGTGTTTGCTAAAGTGACGCCGGCTCGCTCCCACTGGCCAGAAACCCTAATTTGGCACCCTCACCTGACTCCAAAGGTACCTGGAGCTCTGTCCACCTTTTTGTACGGAAGTCACAGGGGCAAGCAAAGGTTATCAAGTAGACAACTCAATTTTAACATTTTAATTATAAACAACCACTAACATGAAGCACTGTGTGTATTTATCTATACACTCACACCTACGTACAACTGTGTATGTATACAAAACGTATAAATACTACACCATACACAGACACACATCTCCTCTAGCTCTGGCCACCGGAAGGCCTAGAAACAATGACAGCTAGCTTCTATATTCTGGTTTTTAAACATCTCCCCCTACTGAAAGGAACACGGCCCCTTGCAGAGATGGTAGACTCCAGGTCCAGAGCAAGAAAAGTTCAAGAAAAAATGTAGCTTAGCATCACAAAGCTACAAAGTGCTCAAAGCTCATGGGGACATAGCAAAAGGTCACAGAAGCCAGCCTGAAGAGACCGGCACTGGCCACTTGGGACAATTTGCACACCAAAAAGTACTGATGGTGCCTGACAAAACACTGAAGGAGTAACAATCTAGGAAAGTGCAGGAACCCTGCAGTGGGGGCGGGGAAAGCAGGGAGGAAAAGGCCATCTCTAACAGATGTAATACGCAGAAGACTGCCAAACTTAGAAAAACGCCCTTGTGCAAACACCGATGTCATACCTGATTCTGCAAGGATCGTTATCATGACCCATGGGGAACAGGGTGTCCACAGGATGACCAACAGGTCACTTACTGAAGGGACCCTCACAACGGGGAAGGCTGCCAGACATGACCTTCACCGAGTCCTCAATCTCAGGATCCCCGGCCATGGCCCCAGCGTGCTCCCCCTGCAGCAGGTCACCCATGTGGCAGTCTGAATCTCATGGGAAGGAAACAACCTGACCAATCCAGAGCATGGCCTGCTTATTCTACAAGACAGCCAGGGAGCAGCCTGCCGATGTGTCATTACAGCGAAGAATAAAAAGGTGCGAGGACGGCTCTAGAAGAAAGGAGACAGAACTAGATTCGGGACAACACCCCTGGCTGGTCCTGGACCTGGACCTGGACGTGGGCTACGGCTAAAAAGAGCAGCTGAGAACAGCAAGGAAACAGCAACACGACTACATACTGGCTAAGTGCCATGTCAACGCCGCATTTCTTGGTTGTGGTCACGGCACCAGGGTTAGGAGAATTCATCCTAGTCTTTAGGAAATTTACACAAAACTGTTTAGGAGAAAAGAGTCAGGATACCCACAACTTGCTTTCAAACAGTTTAAGGGGAAAAAAGTATAGATATATAAATTTAAAAATGGAGGAAAAAATAATACATCTATGAACTGATGGACAAAATGCTACGGAGTCTGGGGTTTGCTCCATAAGCATCAGGGAAGAAGGACACAGACCAAGACCGGTCGCTGGCTGCGCCACGGCGTACTGAGTGGTGTACTGAGTGGCAGCCCGCACAAGGGGGCGCACTGTGCTAGTCATCCTACTTCTGGAAAGACTATCATCAAAGTCTTTAGACCAAGTACCAATTTCCACTTGAATGCCTCTTAACTTCCCCAAACCTCTGAAGCACAGTAATCCTTCACTTGTATGACTTGTATTATCGCAAGAAATGGCTCAAGAGTGGAAGATGCTCTGCTCTGCATGCAAACTCTCCCACGCTTATCTTCCCCACGGGTGGTGAACTGACCTGTGTTACTTGCATTTTTAGCAGCCTCCAAGGCATCTGAAGGAACACCATCTGAAAAACTAAGACAGTATGTTAAATAAGTATTACTATCAAGAGGTTCTAAAGACAAAGAGCACAGGGCATTTTTCTTGTGTAACATATTAAGAGGCAGCTCTACAACGACTTCATATTTGGACAGAACTATGGACACATGGGTGTATCTACGAGATACGTTCCTGTTATTTAAAAAAAAAACAACAACAAAAAACAAATACAAAAAAACACCACCTACCACTTAACAGAACCCCACCCCCTGCCATGTCCCACAGTTCTAATTTCCAACCCTGGCCAAAGCTTCTTAGTTTTCATTTCTACAGTTTCTTTCCCCCCCAAAATCTGCTCCCCACCCTAAAACTGAACCCACTAGCCAACCAACATGCATGCTACACTTTGGCCGGCTGCTAAAGGGATCAAGGAAGTGCCACCTTACCAAGTATTTAAGACACAAGGCCCACTGTGGCTCTGTAAGCTCACCACACAGTCTCTACAAACGATTAAACTTCACAAAAACAGGTATATCGGTTTTCAAAGATGCCTGGACATGGCTTCCCTCACCAAAATTAAACCACGTCAAACACTACACAACATCAAACATAACTTTCAGGACGAGCCACAAAACAAAATCGTTCACTTGACCACCGGAAGCTACACAAGGTGAGGATAGTGTCAAGTCAATCACAGGACTTCACCTGGGAGGTATTAAGACCTGGAGAGCAACATGATCACTTCCCACGAGAGGTTTTTCAGTATCGATATTTGAGACACTTGCCATGTGTGAAGCCATCTCCTCATGGGCTCAAACACAGCAGCGGAGGGAGGAGCCTGCCAACCAGAGCTGCTAATGAATAGTCACTGACCAGTGGCCTGGCTCATGCTAATCAACTAAAACTTAAATCCCAATAAACAAAGTCCATTTTGGCTTACCTGTTATCTGCCATCTGAATGTTTTGATCTCCTACAAATTAAGAGAGTTGTAACAATTAACATTGCTAAACATTCACAAAGAACTTTCTAGGGTGCTTGTAGCAGTCAGTGGCTATCTATGGGGGATGAGGGTCTACCAGGAGGAACAAGAGGGAACTTTCTGGGGTGATGGAAATGTTTTAGATCTTGAACGCGCCTGCTGGTTTCTTGGATACCTATATTTGTCAAATTCATCAAATCTTACACTTAGGATCTATACATTTTAGTGAATGCACATTTTACTCATTAAAAAAAAACAAACAAACCCAAAACCTCTTTTTGGTGCTAAAACGACCAGAGTTGAGAGTAAGATTAATCAATTCTAATTTGCCTTCTTTCTCTAATAAGCTTCAGCAATAGGGACATATGTCTATGCTACTAAGGCAATTATTTATTTACTTATTTGACAGAGGAAGACAGCGAGAGAGGGAACACAAGCAGGGGGAGCGGGAGAGGGAGAAGCAGGCTTCCCGCGGAGCAGGGAGTCTGATGCGGGGCTCCATCCCAGGACCCTGGGATCATGACCTGAGCCAAAGGCAGACGCTTAACGACTGAGCCACCCAGGCGCCCCTAGGCCAATTATTTTAGAACTATTCAAAGCATTTACTATTGCTTACACTGTATTTCACACTCTAAGTCACAGAAAGATTTTTATTTTATTATTTTTATATTTGTTTATTTTAAGATTTACTTATTTGACAGAGAGAGACTGAGAGAGCACAAGCAGGGGGAGTGGCAGGCAGAGGGAGAAGCAGGCTCCCTGCTGAGCAAGGAGCCCGATGTGGGACTCGATCCCAGGACCCTGAAATCATGACATGAGCCAAAGGCAGATGCCCCTAGTATTTTCTTTTAAGTAGGCTCCACACTCAGCATGGAGCTCAAGGCAGGGCTTGAACTCATGACCCCAAGATCAAGACCTAAGCTGAGACCAAGAGTCAAATGCTTAACCAACTGAACCACCCAGACGCCCCAGGAGGATTTTTAAATGTTACTGGTTTTGTATGTTCTATTACCAATACACTGAAGATGGTAACGCTTGTGTAAAAACATGATGTGACACACTCAGTACAACCCCACTTTTACAAGACACATACAACAAAAGATTATCTCCAAATTAGGTCATTTTCTACCTATAAACATTAAAGCTAGGTTCTAGGACATTTACTCCTTAAAAAGAACTTGATATTAGTGAAATTTCAAAACCGTGACTCAATGCATAGCTGAAGAGAGGTGGTGATGCTCCTGCATCTCAGACGTCGTAAACACACACCACAGCCTCTTCTCGAGAGCTATCCCAGGCCAACAACTTGTCAATGTTTTATTCTTAGGAATCTGAGCAAAGCTCAAACCCCTCCATCACAGTGCTTCAGGGTGAAACAAAACAACAAAAACCTTTATATTTAAGAAAAATAGATCCAACTGGTATTTATAATCTGCAATTGTTTTGTATTTAGCTCAACTGCGTTTTTCTTTGGTGATTCTGTTTTTGCAGATGAAGCCCAGGAGGAGAGAAACAAGGTAACAAATGCTCCAGTGGCTGTGGCCACCCTCCACCTCGCACGCCCGGTCAGTGAGGGCTCTAGAAATTCATCAATGGTCCCCATCACCTGCTGCTGAGTCCCAAGTCCCTCCACACAGAAACCTGAACCCCGAGCCTTTCTAGCCATCTACCCCAACACTGACTCCCAGCTCCCCACAGCCGCAGTATTCCCACGCTTCCCTTCCGCTCTCCCCCACACTCGATGAGACTTACAAGGCAGGTAAGACTTCACAATAACATCTGATGGCAACAGCCTAAGAGCTGACGTCCGTACATCCCAGTCACCAGCTCTGGAGTCCTGACGGCTTTCCCGACAGCACACCTTTGCTGGTGTCCACGCGAACATCTTCATTTGTGTGCTGGCCCAGCCCCCAATTCCATACTCACACAGCAAGAGGAGGATTGCCACAGCAGGGCTTCCGGGTTACAGAGTATGGACGGATACCTGTTTCGCCGTGACACCAACTCTAATGTGCCTGCACCGTGTGACAGACACATCGGATAGCACCTCACATCGGCCACATGCACCCTAGCTGCTGGCAAGAGCCTGCTCTTCAGAAGCCACCGTCACGGCCAGTTCAGTGGACAGGCTCCGGTTTTCCCCCCTCATCGATAACACCCAATCAAGCCACACACCTGAGTCTAACACCTTCTTGACTAGCAAGGGCTCCGTGTGACAGGCACTCTCCCACATCTTCCACCCAACACCAACTCTGCCAAGGAGGCAATGTCCCCGGCGTATGGGAGAGGACACGAAGGCTGGTCAAGGCAAAACGCTTGACCCAGGGTCATCCGCCTGCTGTGTGGACTTGGGTTTCTGTGAACCTACGAGAAAGGAGACAGACCGAGGCAAGCTTGATGACCGGAAACAGAGGTGACTTGGGAAGAGCACAGGAAGTGTAATTCAGGAGCTGCAGGTGAGTGTGCTGAAGGTTCAGGGCGGGGTGCTTTTCTGGCAGAGTATGAGAGGGGAAGATCCAGTTAGGAGCCACACGGCAAGTTCAACAGCTCAAAGGTGGGAAGAGGTTCTAGGTGGACACTCACTGGCTGGCAACAGCTTCCATCTTCTGTCAATCAAGCGTTCATGGGAAATCGGCCCGACAGTCCTCAAGTCCGCTGTTTTGATGGCGCATGCGTGAGATTCTCCACTTTACGTAGCCTTCAGTTCCATTTTAGATTCAAATCCTCAGATTTCCCCCTCTGATCCACATCTTTCACAGAAGGCCACGTTGATCAACCAATCTGCCTGCCTGTCTGGTTTAGTCAGAGATGTCCGTAGCTGTGAGTGGATGGTGCCCCTCAGAACTAACTGCAGGGACATCCTCAGATGTCTGTCCCTCATAGGAGGGAAACAGCAAGAGGGTATCACGCCTCACTTGAACAACAGTCAAGAAATGGGGAATCTCAGTCATGTGTCTCCCAGTTGAGAATTCCTGGAGCGGAAAAGAACTCTAGTTTGTACCTATGTCTGGGAGGATCATACCCAGGGCCAAAAGTCCAATTAACGGCTACTGGCTGGAAAACCTCCTCGACCAGTTTCCCCAGCTGCCCATATTTAATAAGCTGAAAAAGTCCCAGGTCCTGGGGGGCCTGGCTTATTTCAGATCACAGTTTGATATTACCTTTCGTTATTTTTCATTCTTGCATTATTTCCCCCAATTTGTTAACATAAAAACAGCATTCTTCCCCTCCCTGCTGTGTAGGGCGAAGGCGCAGGACTGCGGTTTTGAAGACTACTACTGCGACTGTCTAGCTGGACTTGTTGATATTCAAAAGCTCTAACAGGAGCAGTAAAGGTTGTACCACAACCACAGATTCCGAGTTACCTTTACGAGTTCTGCGACCCAACCCAAGAAGGGAACAAGGCTCAGGCAAATCCCTGTCTACTACAGGGGTATTCGTGGACATCCACCCAAAGTGCTATCCATCCCTGTTACCATGTGCTATTTTAGGACAGTAGGAGAAAACCCCAGATTGGACACGGGCAGTAGGTGGAAGGGTTTTCCTGGTTTCAGCAGCAGGAATGAGGGCAACAACTTCACAGCATCCTCTCCAGGGGGAACGTGGAGTGTATGTTTCTGCCACATAGAAAGAAATAACTAGTGTTTTCTAAAGAGAGGACGCTAGGTAGACCCCTTTGCCCAGATTTTTTTCCCTGGAATGAAAGAGAGGACCCCATGATCAAAAATAGTCATTTACCCTGAAACACATAATACATTATACGTTAATAAAAAAGACAAAAACAGTCATTCACACACAACACGCAGTAACTGGTGCTTTTAGCATCATGGAAGTGGTTATAGGAACGTCTTCAATTTCAATATATTCAATATTCAATATTAACAAATGAGTCTGGTGGTTGTGGGTGAGATTCCAATAGAAATCTGGGGATCATCCAGGGAGAAGGTTATGTTGAACTAAGTTCCCAGCATTTGCTAGACTTCTGAGCAGTTCCCCACGAGGCACCACTGAAAGGAAGCGCATCGCTCCCCCCTCCCAGCACCCTGTCACGGAGACACAGCTGTGGAGGAGACCCCATGGTCTCGTAGATCCCAGTGGGGAGTGTCCTCGTGATCCGGAGTCCGGCACCCCTGGAGTCACAAGTGCTTACCGGGAGGCAGCCTCGACTTCTGCCGGTCCTGTCACTGTCTGTGAAACACAGAGAAAGGTCTTGGGGAGGTACACAGACTCGAGTGAGGGTGTTCCTTTATGGGTGAGGAGCACCCAACGGAAGGCTTTCATGTCTGGTGCCAATTTCCCAGAAGGGAGACTATGTACGGCTTCAAAGGCACCAGAGGAAAGCCCTGTTCTCTCTGCTAGAAAGCTTCTGCCATCCTTCCAAGGATAATGGCCAGGCCACCAGTTGGGGCTTTAGCGTTAACTCCAGTGCAAATCCAACAATGAGCAGGGCTGGTGGAATCAAAAAGTGTTTGTAGAGTGGGAACAAAGGAGTGCGTTACCGGCAAACCAAGGAGTGGCAAGGAGGCCAGCAAAGGGACAATTACAACTTTAGACAGCATGACTCAGCTGTTGAGCAACACCAAATTCCGTGAAGGGGGAGGTTCTACAGGCCTGGCCCCAGTATCTTGGGAAGGCTGTCTACTTCCAATGTCATGTATTTCAGTCCTTGAAAATTTCTAGCTTTACGCTACCAGTTGGGGGGCAGGTCCTCTCAGGTTTTGGGACCTTTTTAGACGGCACACATGAATCCAGGAGTCTGTCTCCGGGAACCTGATGGCACCAGGGTTCCTCAGTGTAGGTGCCCTTTCAACAAGGCTAGAGTGAAACTTTATGGAGATGTCTCTTCCAGCAGATTAACTCTCCTGGCTGTAAAGTGTGATGTCTGACGTCTTTTCTCTCTTGGGAGCTCGCTGTGGAAAGACTGCTCTACCCTACCACAGCGTGATTATTCTCAATGGATTTAATTAGACCCTTGCAATACTCAAGTATGTACCAGTTTTTCAGTTGTGGGTCAAAGGAAGCAGGAGCCAAATGCATTAGCTTCCCTGTAATTATTTCAAAAGGTGAGAGTTTATGAATACTGAATGGAGTAGATTAAAGATTTAAAAGAACCAGTCGCAGTACTTTTTGACCAAGGTATTGGAGGGTTTCAACTAATTTAGTAAATTAGTTCTTTATAATTCTCTTTGAACACTGGCCCACTCCTGAAGTCTGAGGATAAAGAGTGGAAATGCTGCAGAACTGGTCAGATGGCACACACTCACTCGTCCAAGGACTCACTTCCAGTGAAGTGGGTCCCCTGGTTACCACGGTACTCCCCACGTGGGAAAAGCCTTTGCTCAAAGGACTTCAGCTAAGGAAGAGGCAGTAACCTTTCTACATGGAAATGCTCCAGTCCAATGTGAAAAGATGCAAATTATCACTAGAACATCTTTCTATCTGTGAGATGAGGCAAATGTCTGAAATTCATCGGCCAGGCCTCAAACGGTCCACTGGGTAAATGCCAGCCACTGGGGCCAGCTCAGCTCAGGTGAACAAGCAGGACAGCAATTTTTGTAGCCTTCTATTTTCCACCAACACTGATCCATAAACATTATCATTTCTCAGGGGACCAATGGTTTAATTCAGGCATAGTGGTCAATAAGGAAAGCTTTAGATTTTCTGGAAGGACCAGCTTATTACTGGGTCCAAAGCAGAGTCCCTATTCTTTGTGGTCCCAACAGCCTTCTGATTTCCAACTCTCTTCTCTTGCACAGGCCAGCTGCTGCCCTTCCCTGGTTAGCCCCGTAGGTCCTCGCCGGGGGAGGAGTCTTCTGGGCCATGACAGAGGTTTGGTCAATGGATCTCCTAAGGGCAGCATTTCTTACAAGGGCATCGGCGAGGTAGATTCCTTTGGTTTCCGGTGAATCAGACTCGCAACAGTTAGAGCTGCTGGTGGCATCCTGGCATCCAACAAATTTGGGGCATAGAAGCCATCTTACTTTCACCTCCACTGGAAGGGAAGAAGCTCTGCTGTTTCCCCTAACATTCCAAAGTCATGGGCCACTCCAAAGGCATACTGGCAATCAGTATCAATGTTTGCGGTCTTGCTTTTGGCTAAAAGGCACATTCAAGTGAGGGCATCTATTTCAGCTACTTTGAGCTGAAGCAGCCAAAGGTAAGGGTCCAGCCTCAATAACCTCCAAACTGTTATCACATACCCAGCAAGAACTCACCACTTCCACAGTTCAGGTATGAGTCTGTCCACCAGGAAAGATCAGTGTGTGTCAGAAGGGTTTCTTATAAGACCTCACAAGAGGTTAACAGTTGATCTGCGAAAGTCAGATAGTCGTGGGGAGTTCCATCAGTGGAAGAGGGAAGAAGGTAGCAGGGTTGAGACTGTTACAGTGAACAAGAGTGATGGGGGGGAGTCAGTAAGAGGACTTGGCAGGAGGAAAACAGCTTGCTGAAAAGTACTGGGCGTGGCGTGACGCAAAGAGAGCCTCTAAAAGCCTTGACGCATCAAGACGGTTGAGGAAGATCCCCCATCTCTTCAGTAGCTTTCACTAAAGGTGGTGGCAGGCAGAGCTCTAAGGCAGGGGATGTATCCTCAGGCAGTGGACCTAACTGTCGGCCAGGATAACCTAGGGGTCTGTGACAGCCCCAAGTTTTGGGATAAGTAGTCTGAAGGCATTCCCTTCCTTCTCATGTACAAAACAGAAAAAGGGTAGCTGATAATCTGGGTGTCTAAGGGTAGGTGGACTTACTACCTTCCTTCAAAGTCTTAAAGGAAAAGTTATATTGGTCATCCCGAACAATGGGATCCAGTTTGGTGTTCTTTTGTATGGCACAAAGGGGCTCAGCCATTAAGAGGTTTGGAATCCAACCGTGACCCAGCCCAAGAAAACCCTGTAATTCACATTTGATTTTGAGGTACAGAAAGTTTAAAATGCCTTGCAGTCTTTCAGGATCTAGGAGTAGTCCCCGTTCCCAATTAAATTGTCCTAAATCTCGGACCAGAGGTTTGAACAAATTGCAATTTTTTTGTTTAAGACCTTGTGTTGAACAAGGTCTTTTTGAGAGCAGCCTTTCTGAAGGCAAGCAAAGAAGGAAATCATCTACATAAATGTAGTAAGATGAAACCTCTAAAGAAGCCTATGTTATTTAAGTCAGCTGCTATAATCTGTGTGAAGAAAGAACTCTCAGTAAAGCCTTGAGGCATGACTATCCGTGTGTGTTCTCATCCTTCCCAGGTAAAGGCAAAAGGGCTATTATATTTTTATATACACTGCTATCAAAAGGAATACTAAAAAAATTGCACTGCATAAATTAACTACAGTTAAAAAAAAAAAACAAAAAACCTCCAGTAGGGCTGGATACCAATAGTGTGTACGGATTAGAGACAACAGGGTGGAGGAATTAACAGTGTTTACTGACTTCACGTGCCGGACCAATCTCCATCCTTGGGCATGGGAATTTTTATGGGTAAAATAGGGATATTTCAAGGACTACTACAAAGGATAAGAGTCCTTATCGTCTTCTAGGATAGGCCTTATGTCCTCATAAGTCCTCTTATTATTTACAGGGTAATGATTTATTCTTGGGAGAGGTCCTGAGGGGTCAATCTGGATATTAATAGGAGGGGCACTATGAATTCTGCCTCAGTCTGTTGAGGATTTTGTCCAAAGAACGGGGGTACTAGGTTTAATAGTGGGGATGAGTCCAAAGTTTGGTCTTCTTTGGTCTGCAGAGTGCAATAAATGGGCTTCAATGTTCCTGAGTACTGGATTTGAAATCAAGGAGTATTTTCCCTTTGGGAAAGAAAAAAAATGCAATGTATTTCCCTGGGAAATCTCATCCTAGATAAATGCATGTGAGCCAAATCGCTGAGGAGAAATGGTTGGTAGTCATGCAAAGGTCCCAGATAAAAGGATATGGGCTGAGAAACAGGGACATGTTGTAGTTTATCAGAGACCCCCTCTATCTGCACATATGTATTACTCCAAAGAAGGGACAATTTGGGGTTGAGCACTGACAGAACAGTTCCTGTGTTGAGTGAAACGGTGAGAAAATTCATCCCTGATGTGGAGAGTAGTCTCCCCATCCTAAGTAATTCCCCTCCCACAAGGCTGGGGAATAGTCCCCGTGTGCCCTCAGGGTCCCATCACAGGGGTGGATTTGGCCATTGCCTCTTAAGGGGTTGCAACTACTTGGACTTCAATTTATAGTGAGCCTTTTCCCAGTGGGCATACTGTCTGCAATAATGGCATGGTCCCATAGGACACAACTGCTCTGTGGTCTCCATCTGTGGGAGGCTCAATGCCCATTCCATAGACGTTACTCTGACTAACTGTGTTAAGCCCCATTTACAACCATAGAATCAAACCCCACCGGGGTGGACTCAACATCTATGGAAAGCCTGGAATTTTCCTTGAAAACAGCTTAGACTCATGGACAGTCATATAACAGTCACAGACAGATTCAGCAGGCTTTTGGGTGAGTGCCTGAAACTTATTCTAGTCCACGGGCTTGGGGAAAGCCCTTGGGATGACTTCATGCAGTCTTTTGGCCATGCTGCCAGCGTGGTCATGCAAAAGGGCTGGTGGCTGGTCTAGTTTAAACCCTAGAGATTATTTTCATCCAGCGCTGGGCCTGACCTTCTCCAACAACCACGTGGACTAACTGACAGAGATCGGAGAACAGGCTGGTAAATCAGGGTTACAATATTAAATTCCTCCACCCATCTACAAGGACCCTCAGTTACCTTGGGGAGGTACTTAATTACAGCCCTAAGCTCAACTTTTGTCCATGGGGTGTAGGCACTTTGGGGTGGTTTAGCAGCATCCTCAGAAGATCTAATTTTGAAAGGAAAAGTTTTTGGTTTTTTTTTAAAAGATTTTATTTATTTGACAGAGAGAGACACAGCGAGAGAGGGAACACAAGCAGGGGGAGTGGGAGAGGGAGAAGGAGGCTCCCCGCTGAGCAGGGAGCCCGACGCGGGGCTCGATCCCAGGACCCCAGGATCATGACCTGAGCCGAAGGCAGACGCTTCACCGACTGAGCCCCCCAGGCGCCCCGAAAGGAAAGGTTTTAATGGGTTAAAGTTGATGAGGTTTCAGTGAAAGGAAGA